TTTTCACTTAGGGGTGTACTCATTTTTGTTGCCAGCGGTTTAGACATCAATGGCTGTGTGTTGAGTTATTTTGAGGGGACAGCAAATTTACACTGTTATACAAGCTGTACACTCACTACTTTACATTGTAGCAAAGTGTCATTTCTTCAGTGTTGTCACATGAAAAGGTATAATAATAAAATATTTACAAAAATGTGAGGGGTGTACTTACTTCTGTGAGATACTGTATATATATATATATATAAAGATATATATATTTATATATATATATATACACAGGTGAAACTCGAAAAATTAGAATATCGTGCAAAAGTTCATTTATTTCAGTAATGCAACTTAACAGGTGAAACTAATATAGGAGATAGACTCATTACATGCAAAGCAAGATAGTTCAAGCCGTGATTTGTCATAATTGTGATGATTATGGCTTACAGCTCATGAAAACCCCAAATCCACAATCTCAGAAAATTAGAATATTACATGCAATCAATAACATAAAGATTGTACATAGAACAATATCAGACCTCTGAAAAGTATAAGCATACATATGTACTCAGTCCTGGGGTATTTCCTCCCAAATCTGGACCAAGGCATCACTGAGCTCCTGGACAGTCTGAGGTGCAGCCTGGCAGCATCTGATGGACCAAAACATGATATCCCAGAGGTGTTCTTTTGGATTTAGGTCAGGCAGGTATGGGGCCCATTTAATGGCATCAATTCCTTCATCCCCCAGGAACTACCTGCTTACTCTCACCACATGAGGCTGGGCTTTGTCATGCACCAGGAGGAACCCAGGACCCACTGCACCAACGTAGGGTCTGACAATGGGTCCAAGGATTTCATCCCAATACTTAATGGCAGTCAGGAAGCCATTGTCTAGCGTGTAGAGGTCTGTGCGTCCCTCCATGGATATGCCTCCATATTCAAATTATTATTTTTTTTATTATTTAATTCAGCATTAAGTTGACAAACTGACATATAAACATTTGCATTTGGTGCAAAATAACATTTCCTATAAGCCAGCAAAGTACAAAACATTAACATTTCCAAAAGTGTCTACAATTTTTGCCACCACTGTAAAACTCAATTCTGATGGAAAAAATAACCTCACCCAAAACTAACATTTCCTTCCTGAGTGTCCCAACAAGCTTTATAACATGCTAGTTTTATCTGAAGAAGTCTTCTGACCTTGCAGCATGTAACTTTTACAAAACCCTAGTGAATTGTTCCTCTTTTTGCCTTATATTTATATGTGATAACAGAGATTGGTAGGAAGCACACAGCAAAGTACAATATCACTCATATCACACCATGCCTCCACACTCGCTCCGGCTGCCTCTTTTACTGCTCTTCATCCCAGGCAAGTACATGGTTGCTTACTGAGTCCAATATATATATATTTAGTATTTATGCAGGGGTTTGATGAAACTTTCCAAATGCTAGACAGAGAATTTCGGTTTTGAAAACATAAGGACTTAGTGATGATGCTATAACACATTAAACTCGGCATAGAAAATACACCAGCAGCTGCATTCAGTAAATGTCTACAAAGTGTAAAAGGAAAGATGACAAAAGAAACTGCAATGAGGTAAACCTCCATAAGTAGTGCCAGGAGGGGGAACAGGGCCAGAAGCAGCTAGAAGTCTTCTTCCCATAATACCCTGATGTCTCCCAAAAGAAGGGATGGGAAAGCATACCCAGCTTTTAGAAATGTAAAGGTCTTTAGTGAGCAGCTAAAGGGGAAGCTAATGAGCTTTCCTCCCATTGCACCATGCTGGGTGCCAAGCTGACATTGGGCAAGTGTATCTAATCCCCCATAAAATGTAATATATTGGAGCTTACCATTTCTTGGCAAGTTCTTTGGTAATGGCTGCATTATTTTGCTTTCTACTTTCATTTTCTCTTTTTTTTTTTGTTGCACTCTCCTAGTATAGAGTAGAATGCTAGGAAAATTTACTTTGGCTTCCTTGTAATCAGGGGGGGGAAGCAGGGGATTGATTGATTAGGGCTGCTCAGTGTTTAACACGCTGCTGCTTTGTTATCTTCACCTGTCTTCTTGAGGATTCTAGAAACAGAGTGGGAGGAATGAATATTCATGGAACTCTAGCCAATCTATCTGAGGTGTGCCCAGTAGATGGTGAAAGAACCCATATTTAGTCTAAGGCCTGAGTAGCAGGGTGCAGGGTTCCAGGGTGCAGTTCTGCAGGAGAAGACCCCTGTAATAGGGGCTCTGCCCCTTGGTCAGAAGTCTGGGAAGAGGCCATCAGGAAGACTCTGAGGTCTCAGCTAAGCTTAGCTGAGGGGCCTATTCTCAAGTTCAAGTCCAGGGATCAAGTTGGATCTGGAGAAACTCAGCAGAGAGGGCCAGGAGGAAGTTGGTAGGAAAGAGTCCATAGTGTCCATAAAATAGAGGTGTGAGGTTCTGTAGTCCTCAGAGATAGTTAAAAATGATGAAGTTATCAGGGATGTTCTCCTTCCTGCTGTTATTTGTTGATATCCTAGTGGAGAACAACATCCACTCTTTAATGTCGCAACAATACACAGCCCTCATATTTTCATCTTTTTCCTTTTTGCATGTGACCATAATCACACGGGTCTAGTGTTGGTTGCACGACTTTTACCGCCTTATACCACCGTGCCTTTTGAAGCTCATATTACTTTGTATAGCTCTGCCTCCTGATTTTTACGTATTGTTACACTATTGTTGACCAAACAGGTTGATTTCTGAACCCTTGCATGGGTTCCTACTTTGACTTTATCTTGTTTATGATTTGATTATTACTCTATTTGCCAAATATTTTTGCATGCACTGGCCTTGGATATTTCAATAAATCATTTGGTACCAGAAAATGATGAAATGATCAGCTCACAGTATTTCTGAGAAGATCAACAGGTATTTTGTGCACTGATCTAGATATAACCAAACACTTTTAATGGGAAAAATTAAAAGACCAAAAGAGGACAAATAAGAGGGGTTCACTATTAAGTTTTATATTCAATATAAAATAGAAAACAAATGCTGCTAACTCATTATAGGACTTGTAATACACTTTAAGCCCCGGGTTCACACTGATGCGGTGCACAATTTACATCAGATTTCTGCACCGCAATCGCACCCCTTTCATATGAACCACTGCGGGTGTGTAATTTAAGTTAACGACACCCTGAAATCAGTTCACAAAATGTGGTGCGATGTACAGAATTGGATCATATGGGTGTGAACACCCATGAGATCTGATTCTGATGTGGACAAAAAAAAGGGTCCAACACTTTTTGGTGTAGATGAGGTGCAATTTGAGCCATACAAAATGTACCGCACAGAAATCGCATGTGATTAGCACAGGAATGTGGTGCAGTTCCTGTGCGAGTCGCATGTGATGTGCTGCACCGCATCAGTGTGAAATCGGGCTAAGTCTCTGTGTGAGTAGAAGGCATGCCAGCATTTTTACCAGCCTGGTCATTAAAAGAAAAAAGAGTCTTGATGTAATTTCCTTCACTCTCTGTCTTTTCAATTTGACAGCAAAATATTTTTTTTATACAAACAAAAACACATTCTAAAACTTACTCTGCATAGCAACCTTCCACCGGCCAGGTTTCATTGTGAATAACACTGTGTTCTCCCAGGGGGGAGTCCTGATTTTTGTGGGACAGTCCATTTTAATATCTGTCTTGTCTTGAAACTGAAAGATTTATGGAAATATGATCATTCAGCTGTATATGGTAAGCTCCCAATTTACAAGTGATACGCAGAGTGCAGGAGGAGGAGGAAGGAGTTAAGTTTAGTAAAATATTGGTGTTGGGGTATAGGGAGGGTTAGATTTACATGAAGGATTAGTATAAGGGTTCGTGTTTGGATTATTAAGAGTGTTATGAAGGCCATACATGGTTCGAATTTCAAATTATTTTTTGTCTGAAAATCTCAAAACGTTGTTCGTTCTGTAATCTGATGGTGCCACCAATGATTTCGAAAATCGGTTGTTTTTCACAAATTTTCCAGCATGCCCAATAAATGAAATGGTGAGGAACCACAAAAATCAGCCGATGCCATTGCCCCACTAACAGAGCAAAAATCGGCCGATTATTCTTAGGTCCGATTTTCGTACAAAAATTGTTTGGAATTCGAACCATGTATGGCCTGCATTAGTGTGAGGGTTGGTGTTAGATTTACAGGCAGGGTTACTATTGGGGTTACAGGCAAGGTTAGCCTGAGGGTTAATATGTTACCTATAGTGGGAGCTAATGTTAGGTTTACAGAAAAGGTTATTTTCAGGTTTACAGGGATTGAAAGTGTGGGGGTAGTCATTTAATGTATGTGCTTGCTGAAAATGTAACATGCATTACTGGTGATGTTTTGGTATTACAGAGCAAAATCACATTTCTGGGAAGGTCTTTCAGGTTAGGTTCACACCTATGCAGTTTGCGTTTGATCTGTTTCTGCTGTGCTTTTTGCGTTGTGTTATGCGTTTTTGATGCGTTTTGCGTTTTTATAGTTTTTTTTCCAACTTGTTGCTGGGCAGATTAAAACACAAAAAACACATCAAAAACATGTCAAAAACGCACTACATGCATTTCTGCAGCATCTCCAGTGAAGTCTATTTAACCAAAACACAACGATTTGCATTTAAAAAAGTCCCTGACCCTTTCTAAAAATCACACCTGGTGAAAACGTGGAGATGTGAAGGTGTCCCACAGGAAATCATGTTAAATGGACTGTAGTGCGTTTCTGCAAAATGTAAAATGCACAGCAAAAAGCTTAGGCATGAGCCTAGTCTTATATTTGTTATGGTGAAATGGAACCGTTTGCAGAATTACAGCAGAAAACTAATGAAACTACTAATGTGATTTCATTTATGATCAGTTTCTGAAACCAGACTAATATGTAAACTAAATCTCCCTTCTTTAAATTGGCAGATGTGATATCTGATGAGCACGTGATAGGATCAGTAGATGGTGCAGTGACCTTACCCTGCAACTATGACACCAGTAGCGGCACAACCACCATGTGCTAGGGTAAAGGCCATTGCACAAGTTTCAGTTGTAACAATGCCATCATCTGGACAGACGGCAGCAAAGTGAGCGGCAACATCTCTAACAGATACCATTTAATGGGGGACATAGCACAGGGAAATGTGTCACTCACCATTAGTGATTTAACTAAGGAAGATGAAGGATTGTATTGCTGTCGAGTGGAGATCCATGGATTGGGCAATGATGAAATAAGATATATACACCTTGAGATACAAGACAGTAAGTGTTATGTCTCATTTAAATGTATTTTTTTCTGGGTTGTATTGAACAGCATCAGGTTTCTATTGTTTGCAGACATCTTGTGGTGGTTTAGGGTCATCACACAACATTTTTACTTGTGTGAGTTGGTATCACCCTCTCTCCTCCCATCCTGTTTAGTGCTAGTTAGTTCAGTAGCTAGACCCTCCTGGTTCTTCTGTGTTCCCTCAGTCAGTGCTCATTCAGCACAGAGACAGGGCTTAAAAAAGTAATTCTTCTCTTACATTTCATAAGACTGAAAAACATCTTCTGTACTGCAATTATATGAAGTAAAATTGTGTTGGACTCAACTTCTGGATCTTATTGAGGAATTAAGCTTCCTATGGATGGTATCAAGTCAGCAGGTGATCATACTGTCCATACAGGCTGGGTCTAAGGAGATATGTCAATGTATAAAGCAGCAAAGCAGTGAGTGCTTTTTATTTTAAAACAAATGCATATCTTCTTTATTTTGTATTGTTGGGGCAAAAAATAATAATAAATTGAACATTTTTACTCAGTTAAAGCAACCCTGCCAGGTTGAAAGTAAATCAGTCCTTGCAATGGAAGGGCAGTGATTGCTCTATCTGAGGTTGCAATGAGAGACAACCTACCTGAAAGTGCTATGGTATTTCTAACTCAAGGTGGTCTGGATATATATATATATAAAATTTTTATTTATTTATTAACTGTACTGTAGATTCCAAAAGCTTTTGCCTTATACCTAGCTTATGTTTGCATACAGCATTGTTCTCCAAGTGCCACTTCATAGCAAGAGAAATAAGGCACTGACTATATGTGCAGACAGGGAGAATATGAACACGATCATAGTCTTTAGTCATGGAATCTGTGTTCAGAATGAATTTTAATATTGCATTAATTTTCTTGGTGTTATTTTCCCCAGTTGAAGAATGCCCAGATGATTTGGAATGGAGCACAATATATGCATTAAACTAATATGGTATCTAAAAACAGGTATTTTTTTTTTTCTAAAAAAGAATAAGCATATAATAAAGGTTCTTTGTCTGTCTTACAGAATTCTTAAAGTGGAACTCTAGGCAGATAACTAAATATACAACTGAATAACATCTGCAAAAAATATTTGTAATTTTGTTCATCTGTTTTGTAAATCACCCACTCTTAGGAAAATGACAATATTATTTTATTGCGCCTGTGTGTGTGCATCACTGTGTAACATACTGTCACTGTCAAATGTATACTTATTATTATATATTTAGCAATTTGGAGTTCTTCTTTAATGATTGTTGGTAGTTTAAAATACTAAAATATGTGTTCTGAAAGCACAATCAAAGAGGGTGGATCTTGTATTTACAGTGTCTGGTTTCTGAATACATATAATGAGGTAATTTTTTTTTTCTAAGTACACTTTCCTCTAAAACATTTGTTGCATTGGTTATATCTTTATGAAAGTAAAAGAAAAAAAAAAAAAAAATTGCTTTGGAGAAAGCTCCCAGAAGGCATATTTTTATTTTGCTGCTGTAGCAACCTCATAGTGTAGTGCAGGCTGCTACAGTGCCTAGAAAAAGTATTCATACCCCTTGAAATTTTCCACATTTTGTCATGTTACAACCAAAAATGTAAATGTATTTTACTGGGGTTTTATGTGATAGACCAACACAAAGTGGAACATAATTGTGGCGTGGAAGGAAAATGATACATGGGTTTCAAAATGTTTTACAAAGCAATATCTGAAAAGTGTGGCATGCTTTTGTATTCAGCTCCCTTTACTCTGATGCCCCTAACTAAAATCTAGTGGAGCCAATTGCCTTCAGAAGTCACCTAATTAATAATAAATAGAGTCCAACTGTGTGTATTTAATTTACATATAAATACAGCTGTTCTGTGAAGCCCTCAGAGGCTTGTTAGAGAACATTAGTGAACAAACCAGGCCAAGGAAACACACCAGAGAGGTCAGGGATAAAGTTGTGGATAAGTTTAAAGCGGGGTTAGGTTATAAAAAAATATCCCAAGAGTATGGCACAACTGCAAACCTACCAAGACATGGCCATCCACCAAAACTGACAGGCCGGGCAAGGAGAGCATTAGTCAGAGAAGCAGCCAAGAGGTCCATGGTAACTCTGGAGGAGCTGCAGAGATCCACAGCTCAGGTGGGAGAATCTGTCTACAGGACAACTACTAGTCGTGCACTCCACCAATCTGACCTTTATGGAAGAGTAAATCAAAGACGAAGTAGCTCTGAGGAAGAAGGGACCCCCTTTGAAACGCGTCAGCTATACTGAACACCCACTCCCCTGATGGGACTCATGTTATCTTCAAGTCCCTGTGAGGACTTACATGCCTGATTTTATTCGCTGTTTGTGAGTATATTTTTTACAATTAATAAATTTTGGTTACTGAGGTAATGCGCAAGGTTGGTGCGCTTCTCGTTTTCATTTCATTCTGCTTTATGGAAGAGTGGCAAGAAGAAAGCCATTGTTCAAAGCAAGCCATAAGAAATCTTGTTTGCAGTTTGCGAGAAGCCATACGGGCAACACAGCAAACATGTGGAAGAAGGTGCTCTGGTCAGATGAGACCAAAATTGAACTTTTTGGCCTAGAAAGCAAAACGCTATGCGTGGTGGAAAACTAAAACTGCACATCCCCTGAACACACCATCCCCACCATGAAACATAGTGGTGGCAGCATCATGTTGTGGGGATGCTTTTTTTCAGCAGGGACAGGGAAGCTGGTCAGAGTTGATGCGAAGATGGCTGGAGCCAAATGCAGGCCAATCCTAGAAGAAAACCTGTTAGAGTCTGCAAAAGAATTGAGACTGTGATGGATGTTCACCTTCCAGCAGGACAAGGACCCTAAACATACAGCCAGAGCTACAATGGAATGGTTTAGATCAAAGCATATTCATGTGTTAAAATGACCCAATCAAAGGCCAGACCTAAATCCAATTGAGAATCTGTGGCAGACAGAGACTTGACAGAGCTTGAGCATTTTGCAAAGACGAATGGGCAAAAATGTCACTCTCTAGATGTGCAAAGATGGTAGAGACATCTCCAAAAAGACTTGCAGCTGTAATTGCAGTGAAAGGTGGTTCTACAAAGTATTGTCTCAGGGGGGCTGAATATAAATGCACACCACACTTTTCAGATATTTATTTGTAACAAATTTTGAAAGCCATTTATCATTTTCCTTCCACTTCACAATTATGTGCCACTTTGTGTTGGTATATCACATAAAATCCCAATAAAGTACATTTACGTTTTTGGTTTTAACATGAAAAAATGTGGAAAACTTCAAGGGGTATGAATACTTTTTCAAGGCAGTGCAAGTAAACGTTGGCTCCTCTGTAAACAAAGGGGCTTGGGTTGATTGATTAGGGCTGCACAGTGTTTCACAGGCTGCTGCTCTGTTATCTCCCCTTGTTTCTATATGATTCTAGAATCATAGTGGGAGCAATAACAGGGCATGCAGCCTGAATACATATGTTATTACAGCCTGGGTATGTGTGCCCAGAAAGTGGTGAAAGAGACCATAAATAGTCTAAGGTCTGAGCAGCAGGGTGCAGTGTTCCTGGGTCCAATCTTGCAGGAGGAGACCACTGTGCCAGGGCTCTGACCCTGGGGAAGAAGTCTGGGAGGAAACCTTTAGGAAGACAATGAGGACCCAGCTAGGCTTAGTTGGTTGACCTATTTACAAGTCCAGGGATCAAGTTGGGTCTGGAGAAACTCACTGGAGAAAGCCAGGAGGAAGTTGGTGGGAAAGAGTCCAGCTGTCCTATGGTAATGTGAGTCTACATATCCCGCATTAGAAAGAGCCTGGTGGATATGTGAGTACATGACCCTAGTGCGGAAGAGTAGTGAGTGTGTGTAGCCTTACAGGTCACCATCAGCATAGAGATCCTGTGTGACATTGTGTTTTTGTACAGTGCAGTCAGAAAGTTGAGGAGTACTCAAGTTATTCAGTACTAAAGTTTATTGGGGTATCCAATGCTCCCTCATCCCTATTCCCTGTTCATCACTCTAAAAAAAAAACCCCATAAAGAAACCCCTAGACTGTTCTTTGGAGCCAGTGGAAAAGTGCAAAAAATGCTGTACGCCTGGCTGTGTGTGCGCTAAGGGGGAAATAGGACCAAATTCACCAGTGGTTCTTCAGGGGTTGCGATTCATATATTAACTTTGGGAACTCAAAGTAAAAAAACCATAGCCCGTGGACAATATTAGAAATTATATACTATTTCAACATACATCTATTATGTGGAGCAAAAATCGCAGTGTTGACTAGTACTTGAAACTCATACTTTCTAATAATTTCTCTTTCTGCAGGGTTTGAGTCATTCACAAGTGAAAAGTAATAAGTGAAATTTGGAAGAAGAAAGTGTTTGAAAGATAATGTTTATAAATTAAGTTTTCAAACCCCTACAAATAAGTATTTTTGTGCTATAATAAAGATTATTGTTACTCTGTTATTCTGGTATTATAGATACGTAAAATAATATGGTTGTAAACGAATGTTTTATCCTTTTTAACTAGTCATATAAAATATTTATCTTAAAAGAGAAGTATGGCTAAAACTTTTCTGGCCATACTGCTCTTGTGAGTTACAGGAATACACCTACAGGAGTGCAATCCTTTGACCCAGAATCGGCTGACAGCAGGCTATAACCCACTATCAGCTGATGTCACAGAATTGCTCTAGGCTCTGGAAGGATCCCGGCCTTATTGTCAGGATCCACCAAGCTGCCTGATTGACAAATAGCTCTTCTTCTCAGATGGCTGAGAGCTAAAGCCAGCTGTACCAGTCCCCTCTCCAGCCCAGCGCTCTAGTTAGAGGTGGCACCAGGGCACGGACACATGCTTTGGGTTTCCATCATTAGTTATGCCCCTAGTTTCACCTGTCTGTAGGGGAAGTAGGTGTCGCAGACCTTTCTTAAAGGTCGGGATTCTTAAAGTAGACACTGGGAGCTGTGCATGTTTCCATTAAAACACATGGTGGCAGCTTTTGCTTGTGTAAGTAAAGGATTAACTAAGGAGTTAATAGACCCCAGTGATGATCATTCTGTCTGCTCGCAATAGATTGTTGCCCCTCAGGCTGGAATATCTCTATGCAGGGTGAGGCTGAGAGTGTCATTGTCATACCCATTACCTTGTGTGCCTTTGACAATGGGCACCATTACAAACAGAAATAATGAATCTCCCCAGTAGGAACACAGATAGATATAAGAGCTGGTAGAATGGAAAACATCTCCACACTTTATCCAAAACTAAAATACAGAAAAAATAGGTTTTGGCTTTTAACACATTGTTATCATTGTTTCATTGCTATCCTTTTAAATGATCAGCGAATGCATTGTTACAAGTTCTTTTTCACACACCTATATCTAAAAATAAAAAAAGAAAAGAGAATTGTAGATGATCAGATCCTTGATATTTTGCATTGTTGACTATGGTATGAAGTCTATTGTTCAATGTGATCATGCACACTCCAACTGAACTCCATGGTCATCACTTCTAGCACCAGGAAATCCTCATATATTTACCCATGAATGGAAGCTTATTGAAATAAACCAAATAGCAATTTATGCCGATTCCTCATTTAAAGTGTTTAAAGTGTTTGAAAATATAATATATACATGTCTGTGCATTTGCAACATGAAATAGAGGATCTTCTGTCAACATCCTTCTGCTTCATCCTTCTCACACAGTATATGATGCAAGCTAAACCACCAAAAATAAACTTCCTTATATACAAAAAAAGAATGTGTGAAATTATCTCAGTAGATATTGTTAAAGGAGTTGTGACATCTTAGACTGTACATATGCAGACTATAATGAATATACATAAAAATACAAAAGTGGCTTCACCATGAACTTGATTAAATCTTTAGCATCAGTTCCATAATTAACCACCTCAGTTCCGGACACTTTCATCCCTTTCCTGCCCAGGCAAATTTTCAGCTTTCAGTGCCGTCACACATTGCGAGAC